GGGGGGGGGGGCAGGCATGTGCCCCCCAGGTCTCCACCAGGTGCATGCAGTCATGGGACTGCATAACTCCTACAAACATCTAAGTATCCCTAGAGGTAAGCATACCCCTGGTTGACGACCATTGTTCTACATGGTTAAGCATTAGGGCTGTGCAAAGCTTCAGGTGCAGATTTGATTCAGAGGGCAAGTGTCCAAGTTGAATCAGGAGACCAAAAAAAAAAGGGTCCAAATCAATTTGAAGCCCTCCAAAACTATTCGAAAAAAAGATTGAGAGTTTTGGGCAGTCCCTGCTTGCTGCTGCAGGGAGCTGGACCTGGACTCTGTGCCAGTAAGGACAGGGGGCGGGATTGGAGGAGGGAGCAGCCCATGGGGGGGACCCCACCAGGCCCCAGCCCCCCAAGCACCCCCCAGCCCCGTCAATGGCTGCCACACCCAGCTGAAGCATGGCAGCACTTCAAAAAAAAGCCCTGCACTCACCAGTCCTGCCAGGCACGGAGGGATCCCCCACTGCCCCATGGGTGGCTCTGCCACAAGCCCCCAGTGGTCCCAACGGCTGCTGCAGCAGCCAGTGAGTGCAGGGCTTTTATCTTTTCTTTTTGATAGGACTGGGAGAGCAGGTGGGGAATGGGGCCCATTTGATTTGGAGATTCAGCAGCAGATTCAGCAGAATCAAATCTGGGACAGTGATTCAAGTCACTGAATCAAAGTCACTGTCCCCTGAATCCAACTCCAAAGCGAATACTAGCTGCTTTGCACAGGCCTATTAAGCATCTCAAAGTTTAGACCCCGAGGCATAAGCATAAGGAGCCTATGAACTGTCCAGCTGAGCTGTTCCAAGGTGGGGAAAGTAAGGGGGGTGGAAAAAAAAGTGATCATTTATGCAGAAATGCAAGCTTTCAATTCATGCACCTTGAAACATCTTAGCATTACACTTACTCCATCATGTTGCAGTAACAATGTACTGTGCTTGCTATTAAGTGTACATTTGTGCTGGTTAGTCCTATATGCCAAAATATAATCTATAAACCATAACTAAATTGTTATTTGAGAAGGTCACAAATCACAGGACTAAAACCATCAGGAGCTACTGCTATACAGCAGCAAGGAAGCAGCCCAAGCCAGCAACTATGTACTCTTTAAAAAGAGAATTTACAGAGGAAGAGAGAAGTTTACTCCCCTTGGATATCTTGAAACACTAGTGCTTACGAAGGGTACAGGTGCGATTGTCACCCTATTCCTCCATATTGCAGAACTGCATTAGAAGAAAGCCACTGCACCAGATAGCACTGAAATACTCAAACGTTTAAAGGAGGAAAAAGTAAAATGTAGTGCAAAATTAAGTGTTGGTCCCAAATGAGACTGACTGCTTTATGGATAGGTTAGCCGTAACTGACTTTTCCTGCCCTCAGTCCAGACTCAGAGCAAAGGCTGGCCCCAGAATGTCTAGGGTTTCTTGAGAGCCACACCCACTTGAAATAAGTCATGCAAGGCCAGGAATCAGCAGACAAGAGAGCTTAAAAATGAAAATGAGCTTAAGTTAATCATTCATTGTTCAGATTCTTCTGCAAGGCCAGCTCCTGATTTCTTCCTCTCTCCTCTCAGCAGCAGCTTGACAAAGCCCCCAGTGTCTGAGACATGACTGCATCACTCTACAAGCTAAACGGATGCTCTGAGCGGCTGGGCAGTAGGCTGGATAGGGCCTCTGGGATTACAGCCGAGCTGTGTAATGGAGTCTGCTGAAGTTTTTTCAACAGCTGCAGTTGATAATGTCTTTGTATTTGCAGCTCCAAGTTTGGGCTGCACATGTCTCCCTGCTTCTGTTTGGCTGAGCTGACTTCCTCCCAACTCCAGCCAATGAGTACGGAGAAAAGCCAAAGCATCAAGATGTAGCCAGCTGTACCTGGGAAGTGACTTGCAGCATCAAGGGCTCCCCATCACAGCTGACATCAGTAAAACAATAATATTTAATGGTCAGGTAAGCTTTCACTCCTCACTGCAGATTGAAACTGCTTTTACATAGAGGGGAGTTTCCATTCGGGAACATCAGCTTTACTTCTCCTGTCCCATAAGGACATTACTATAGTTCAGTAGTTCCCAAACTGAGATTATGCACCAAATTTGAAATGATACAACCTTAAGTACCACCAGCAAATTTATCATATAAAAGTAATTATAACAAATCTGTTAACATGTACCACTGATAAGTTGTCTGCATACCACTACCTGTAGGGGAAGCGCTGCTCTAGTCTCCAAGCTACACCAGGAGACCAACAGCTACTATGTTACTGACAATTAATTGACCAATCATGTCAAAGTAAACAGTTTGTATGTTTGTTGTCTCCCACCTTTAACATGTAATTTGCCTTAGATATATAAAGGTACTCTGAGGATGGAGACAGCATTTTATTCTCCAGGAGTTACAGAAATGCAAGTAAGCAGGTGCTAAAGGGGACACAATGCCACATAGTTCCTTACAGCAGGGGTTCCTAATCCCCAGGCCACGGCCTGCTACCAGACCATGAAGGGTTGGCTGCTAGACCAGAAGTGACCACAGGCCAGAAAAAACTATGCACTAGAAGCAAGTATAAAAAAAGGGGGGGGGGGGGGGGGGGGGGGGGC